TCTTCATATCCGGTCACATGGGTGGCAAGCCACTCCCATCCGGTCACATGGGTAGCAAGCCACTCCCACAAAGGAGGCCACACCCACAGAGTAGGTTCAAACAATTTTTGAAACCCACCACTGCTTCAAATACAACCAAGCAGAGGTCCAGGAAAAGCTATGGTCTTGTAGCTTTAGTTTTGTAAATAATTTACTGTATTAATGTATTGTGGATGGTACATATGCAATGTTGTTTGGAGTGAATGTAAGGACATCAAGTAACTCCCACTAATGTGTTGCCAGGTAAGGTGGGCTCTAGCCTGTGAATAAAGATCATTTATTTATATTACAACTGTGCAACACTTGGAGTCAAAGGGGGGAAAAAGTACTTCAAAGCAGGCAGGAGCATAAGTAGTTTGCATTGCCATGATATAAAAAAGACTCTAGAAAGAGTGCAGAGAAGAGCAACAAAGATGATTAGTGAAGGCTAAAACATATAAAGAATGGTTTATGGAATTGGGTATGTTTAGTTTAATGCAAAGAAGGACCAGGGGAGACATGATAGCAGTGTTCCAATATCTCCGGGGCTGCTGCAAAGAAGAAGCTATTCTCCAAAGCACTTAAGGCAGAAAAAGAAGCAATGGATAGAAACTACTCAAGGAGAGAAGCAACCTAGAACTATGGAGAAATTTCCTGACAGTTAGAACAATTAATCATTAGAATGACTTGCCTCCAGAAGTTGTGAGTGCTCCAACACTGGAAGTTTTTTTTAAAAAAAGATTGGGCAACTATTTGTCTGAAATAGTATAGGATTTCCTTCTTGACCAGGGGATTGGACTAGAAGATCTCCAAGATCCCTTCCAACTCTTTTATTCTGTTATTTGTTTACAATTCTTTAAAGCAACTGTACCTTTTTCTAGGATCACATGGCTGCCTTCCAGCTTTTTATCTTTAAATCCAAAATGCCATCCATCTTTCAAAGAAAGTGACATGAATAAGTCAGAGTTATTGAAAATGGACTAAGAATAGATTGTGTTAAAAAAGGAATGATCCACCTTCTACAGAATACTAGGCTCCAAGACTGATTTCTACAATTCTTGGAATAAAAGCAAATAATTACTTATCTTTATATAAACTAAAGGATGAGGCATCACATTTCTTATTTATACTATTTTTCTATGGTTGGCAATATTTAATATTTCACAGCACAGACTACATCTTCTTAAAATCTCAAAGATTGAAAATAAAATAGGAAAACATAGAGAGTTGTAATTGAAAATTTATTATAGAGTTTTGTAAAAGAAAAGAAATAAATTCACCAGATAATAAATAAAATGAACAATGGTGCCTTAGAACAACTATTCAGTTTTACAGCCATTGACTTTACAAATGCATACTTAATTTGTTATGTACTATAATTTTATGGTTTCCCCCCATTTTAAACAGCTATAATTTATAGTTGCTGGTTCTTTAGAAGTATGTGGGACTATTTTATCAGTGTTTCTATTTCATTTCTTAGATTTATTTAGAGATTCACCCAATGGGGTCATATTAGGAGCTCTATTTAAATAGTACTGTTTATATAATGCTATAAGAGTAACAAGTACAGAGGTACAGCACATATACAAAGGAAGCATACCTAGTTGTAGGCCAGATGGAAATTTAAGGAGGATTCTTAAGGAGGATTCAAGAGCCAAGGTGGCGCAGTGGTTAAATGCAGCACTGCAGGCTACTGCTAGATCAGCAGTTCAGCGGTTCAAATCTCACCGGCTCAGGGTTGACTCAGCCTTCCATCCTTCCGAGGTGGGTAAAATGAGGACCCAGATTGTTGGGGGCAATATGCTGACTCTCTGTAAACCGCTTAGAGAGGGCTGAAAGCCCTTTGAAGCGGTATATAAGTCTACTGCTATTGCTATTGCTATTGCTATTCTAATATTATTGCACATTCCTGTAAGAGCTGGAATGGGAATTTCTGTAACACCACTTTAATTCTATATGTCAGGCTTTAAACTGTCACTTCAGGAATGGAGAATCCTGAATGGGATTCGCACCTCACATAGTGTCTGCTGGGACTCTCTGTATAAATGTGGCATAGCATCCTCCCCTGAATGTGACTGTGGGGTCCCATGTTAAACTGTAGATCACATTGTGTCTGGCTCTAAACTGAGGGCATATTCTGGTTCAGTATCTAATTTTTTAAATATAAACAATGCTATGCTTTGATGATTAAATGGCCTAGAGCCCCAGACATTGGTATTTGAACATATCAATGCATTTTTAACATCTATATTTTATTGTGATCTGCTAATCTACATAAAATGTTAATATATATATTGCTAGTCCATGTATGATATGGCACATGCTAAATAAATACATTATATAATGTGGTGGGAAATGTGTTGGTATCTTATTTCTATGGATTCCTTTTTGCTATCACAATTGTATTTATTTTATATTTGTCAAATGTCTACACTACCCATCCCACTTGGTCAGTTTACAAACAATGCTTTTTAAGGAGCTGATTCAGCTGATATTTTAGATTGTTTGGTTTAACTTTGCTCACATGGGCAGGTGAGGCATCAGATTCTAATCCTCTATTAAATTTTTATTCTGCTCTTTTCCCCTATAAGGTGACTAACTAGTTGGCTAAAACTGCAAAATTGGTTGTTGATCACGGAAAGCTTGATCTTACAAAGATATTTTAGCTATTTCTGTGAAAGTCATTCTTATGCTAACACTATGAGGTCTGCCCTGAAATTTGTGTACCTCCCACCTGTTTGCCTTCTCTAACGCCCTGAAGACCTGGTTGATTTTCCTTGCCTTAGGATGAAGCCTCTTGTTGGGTGTGTTTTGATCTGTGTTTTGTTTTTAGAGAGTAACCAGATCCATCTTGTTCTGTTCTATATTGCGCTTTTATTATTTATTTCATTGTGAGCTGCCCAGCATTTGTTTAGAATAGGAAGCACTTTAACTAAATAAAACCAGTAAATAATTTTTTGTTATTTATAACTACTGAGCATAAAGTGTGGGCTTCCGCAGATAGTCTGATCCTTCTTGTTTATCTTGACCTTTCCCAACCTGATGTCTTCCAGATGGCTTGGGCATCTTAAGAAGCATCAGCCAGCATGGCCCATAATTAAACAATGCCATCTATCAGGTCCTCATAAGAGCATCTTCTCTGTAGCAAACACCTGGACCTGTCATTTGGAAAGAGGTTCCCTCCTCCCGTATCCTAATGGCCCCAACCCTGCTGATGTCTTGAAAGCCCTTGAAGACTTGGCTCTTTGCCCAGATGTTTGGCAAGGATGACTGAAGCTGTTTTTTAGACTACGTTCAGTTGTTTTCCTTTGTTTTGTCATCCTTTACCCTTGCTTTTTTGTCCCTTGTTGGTTTCCTTACTTTTAATGTTCTAAACAATTTGCAATCTGCCCAGAGTTTGTGAGATATGGGCAGCATATAAATTTAAATAATAACAAGAACAATATGAAATTTTCTAAAAGTAAAGAAATAAAAAAATGCGGGAGGAACTGTTAGTAAATACACAATAGTATAGAATACAATTTGTTAGTGGACTATGTTTTCCTTATAAAATATATCCTAATGATATTTTTTGTGTTTCCAGAAAGTCAATTCCATTGTGAATTGCAAGTTATTACTAATAGCATTACCAGAACAATTTTGCAAGCCTAATTTTATCCCATCCTAATGGCCCTGATTTTATCTCAACTCTAGGAAACATATGGTTTTTTTTCCATGATACAAAACGCTTACTCAGATGAAAAATGGAGTACAGCGAGCAGAGATGATGCTATCATTATACCAATAACTTTTTTGATTATCAGAAGTGAGGACAAGCTTCCACTCTGCCTTTATAGCAAGAAAAGGCACTATATGTGATGTTAAAAGTCTTTGTCTTAAGGCATATTCACTGTAGAAAAAAATGAAATTAATCTTAAAATTATATTCTGTTTAGGAAGAAGTAGAATCTAATTTCTTTGTGATTAAACACCTCAGCTGGAGCACAACAATACCAAACTTCCAGCAGGAATGGAACTTTTCCAACTATCTTTAAAGCAACATTTTTTTTTCTCCTTCATAAACTTTGTACTGAGTCAAGTAGAGTTTAGATTTAAAACTAACAAAGAAAAAGAATAATCTACAGGCTTCTGACATAGAACCAGATAAAAGCTTGAGATGAGAAATCGTGGTTTTTTGTTACAACAGCTGCAGTAATTCTTAGTCACTTTGGGCTTTCTGCAATATACTTTAGTCATATTTATCCATGGCATTAAACCTCAAAGGACTATTGCTTGTTTGAACTAAGGTTTGAGAAGAAGTCAGGATCTGATAAGACAATTTCACAACTTTAGCTGTCATTTGAATTGCTATTTCTTTAAAACTCCAGATAGAGAAAGGTGGAATTCTTGCCACAATTCTTTGAAATATTAAGAAATCTTTGTTTACTAATATGTTCTGTATAAGTTAGGTACAAATAATGACTGCAGCTGTCAGGAAGAATCTAAGCAAGCCACTCTTCATTTCAGATGTAAATTCATTCAAATATAAGTAGATGTTAAGCTTCATTAGACTGAAGGCAAAGGATGTATTTAGAACAAACTTTCTGCTGCTTTTCCTTAAAACTTTTGATTTATTTTACTTTTAAGATCAGGCTCAGGAACTTGGCTTGGGTTTTTTTTTGTTTCATTTTGTTTGCTTTCTGATTTCTCTCTTGTTCTTTGTTTTTGGAAATAAGAAGTAATATCAAGTTTAGACAGTAAGTAAAATAGTATGTACTATGGCAGGCCAAAATAAAGGCTGATGAACCAAATAAAATGATTTATTAGTTCTGTAATATACAGTCATTTAAAAATAAATAACCATTTGTCTGAAGTGGTGTAGGATTTCCTGCCTAAGCAAGGCGTTGGACTTGAAGACCTCCAAGGCCCCTTCCAACTCTGTTATTCTATTCTATTCTAAACATAAAATCATGTTACAGTTAGGAAATAATTAATAATTCTCACCTAGATGTAAATGTTCATTTCTGTTTAGCTTCCTGTCTTCAATGACTGTAACTCTATAATTGTGTTGTGTAAGGATTTGCTGATATAGCTGAAGATCTTGTCCACTGCCAGAAGAAGGAATGTGCAGTATGGCTTCCTTAGCTTTGTTATTAAAAAACTTAAAATTGGTATCCTCAATCTGAAACAAGAAAGAGAAATTCAAGAATTATAATAAGCAGTTGTTTCATGTTGTTGTTAGTTGCGAAGTAGTGATCAACCCATCATGACCCCATGGACAATGTTCTTCCCGGCCTCCCTGTCCTCTACCATCCTTTGGAGTCCATTGGAGTCCATTTAAGATCACATCTACTGCTTTGGTGATTCCATCCAGCCACCTTATTCTCTGTTGTCCCTTTCTTCTTTTGCCCTCAATCTTTCCCAGCATTAGGCTCTTCTCCAGTGAAACAACAGTGAAAAGTTGTTTCATAGAACCAAGCTATTCACTCAATCACAATAATCACAGGTAGATGTGGGCAGTGGCTATCTAGTGCCCTGTTGTCCTTTTGGACTCCCTTTCTCATGAATACTAGTATTCCTGGAGAGGAAGCTATAGGTAATCCTTGACTTATGACCATAGGTTGGATCAGAATTTTGGTTGTAAAGTGATATAAGCATTAAGTGAGTCATAAAGTGACCAGACCTGATTTTATGACCATTTTATCACAGAATTTAAGCAAGTTACATGGTTGTTAAGTGAATCACACAGTGGATCCAGATGCCCCAATTTATTATGCTTATCAGAAGTGCCTGGAAAAGTTGCAGTTTGAGATCACGTGATTACAAGTTGGTACAACTGTTATAAATGCAAGTCAGTTGCAAAACACTAAAACTATGAATACAGGGCCGAGGAGGACAGTTTAATTTCAAGAACAGGTCAGTAGTTACTCTTTCCAATGCCATTGGAATTTTGATCCATTGTTAAATGAACGTCCACACGTCCACTTTGTTCTGACAAAATTTGGCACAGAACCCTGACCTTAGGACCCAGCTTGTTGGGGGCAATATGCTGACTCTGTAAACTGCTTAGAGAGATCTGTAAAGCACTGTGAAGCAGTGTATAAGTCTAAATGCTATTGCTGTAGCTTTCTTGCACCTAGTAAATTGCAGGGAATTGGACCACATCTGTCAAACTTAATTGATTCACTATAGCCATACAGTGCTAAATTAGAAAAAAAAGGCATTACCCTAGAGTAGGCAATTTGTGACACACTCAATATCACTGAACTGTTTGCTGCTAGTAAATCTGTCCAGTTATGAGGGTGCTGGGAGCTGTTATTCATCAATATTTGGAGGGCTACAAATTGTTCGCCTCTGCCCTGTGCAGTATATTTTACCAAATTAACAAGGAGTGGTGCATATTTCTGATCAGGGCAATCTGTCGCTAAAACAGATGATTTATGTAAAATAGTAATCTCATTGTTGGTGAGAACATGAATGCTGCATACCATTTAATCAACACTGGTGATTTTTAAAGTAGCGTGTAAAATTCTGTGTTCCATTTGTAACAAACAGCTTGTTCAACACAAGCATCCCATGATCTGAAACTTATAAAGGCAGACATAGAAGACCAAACTAAATACATTTGAAATGGAATTCTGGATGAAGGGAAATAAAATGAAGATTGCTTCAACTGGGGTGGAGGGATAATTAATGAAATTGCAAGTTTAGAAAGCAGATTTATTTTTTGCTACAGCTTTACAGAACATCTTTCTTCTGAAGGTAGCATTTGAATACAATTTTATTATCCCCTACAAAAGATAAAAGTGGGGGATAAAAAAACCTGAATAATCAAAGCTTTGGGATTATTAAATAACTGGCATGTTTACAAGAACAATCGTGAAACATGTGGTTATAAATTTCAGAATGGACATTGTTCAAAAGAAGAAAGGCAGATCTTTCAGGGTAAGCAAGTCTATTTCAAACTGCTTTGAACTCTTGATTGGTCTGGTAACCTGGTAGGTATAAAGTTATATTCACAACAGCCTTTTTATCAGTTACAGGAAGTTGCTTTATGTTACACTTGGCTCAAGTGTTAAATTATGTTCAGGAAGGAGACACATAATTTGTATAACCTTTGATGAATGACTAATACTTGCCTAGTTTATTATAGATCACACATCTTTTCCAATTAAAATTGATACATTTATCATTTGTTAAATTATTATTTTCTATATGTTAAAAATCAGGACTATTAAAATATTCCCATCAAATGCACCGTGTTTATAAGCCAAAGTAATACGAGTGCAAAGGAAATGCACGGGAATAAAATTACAGTCTTGTAAATACATCCGCTCTCTGTCCTTGCATATTTATAACCTATTTGTCTAATAGTGAGGAATGAAATGTTCCTTATCCTTAAAACACCCCTTCTTCTGGAACAACCTTTGTCTTTTTTATCTGCTTCTGCTTCTACTTTCTTTTCCCTTTCCTATGTGACTATTGTCAGTTTGAGATCTACTAAAATCTAGGGCTTTTCAATGCTCAGTACAAGCTTTCTCAGAAATAATGGGATAGCCAAAATCAGAACAAAAATTCTGAAAAAACATTAAAATTCTTTTTAATAAATGTGTTTAATTAATAATGTATAAATATAAATACATAAATAAGATGTATTTAATAAATACATCTATACAGAATGTAATAATTATATTACTATATTAATGACAGTCTCATGACAGGTGCTTTTTCAAAGGAAAACTGGATTTTCTGTTTTTTCTTTGAAGACGTTTTGCTTCTCATCCAAGAAGCTTCTTCAGCTCTGATGGATGGTAGGGAATGGAAGGATTTATATTCCTTGCCAACAGCTGGTCATTTGGATTCCTTGAGGCCTGTTGAGGCCACTTGGAGGTTTATTTGTGTTCTCAGGATCACCTGAGTAGTGCAGAGTTGAATCCTACACCACCGAGTGGAAGGCCTGACAACCAGCAAACATAGGAAAGAAAAAGAACACATCAAGGAAGCCCTCAGAAGGTGTGGCTATCTCAAGTCACCCTCCATCAAATCACAAAAAGATCCAGCAGAAGCTTTTCCATAAAAGACAATAAAGATAACAATAAACAAAGCAATGTTGTCATTCCATACATGGCAGTAACATCTGAAATGCTCAGGAGGATCATCAGCCAACACAACATACACACACACTTTAAATCCAAGAATACACTAAGCCAGAAATTTGTCTACCCCAAGGACAAACTACCCAGATACACACTAAGCAATGCGGTATAGGCAGTACAAGGCGGTGAGCTATGTGCATATCTGTACATTGGGGAAACAAAACAACCACTTCATAAATGTGCGGTACAACGTAGGAGAACAAATCCATCAGGACTAGATTCAGCAGTCCATCTGCATTTGAAAGACAAAGGCCATTCCTTTGAAGACAGCAAAGTTCATAGTTTGGACAGGTAGGATCACCTGTTTGAAAGAAGGGTCAAAGAGGTCATCTATATCAAAATTTAACAGCCTCTCAACAGAGCGGGAGGGATACGACATCATCTATATCCAGTCTACAACACAGTCCTTTCAACAGTTCCAAGAAGGCACCACACTCATTTGTACTATTCAGGTGACCCTAAGGACACAGATAACCCTGCAAGTGGCTTCTACAACTCCCTAAAATAATGCAAATGACCAGCTGTCTCCAAGGAATATAAATCCTTCCTTTCTCCACCATCCAGTCAGAGATGAAGAATGGATGAATAGTGAAACGTCTTCAAAGAAAAACAAGAAAGTTCGGTTACCTCTTAAAAAAGCACCTTTGGGACAACCATAAACTGAGAATCTCCATAAACATATATTAATGACAATGTGCAATATCAAGGGATAGTATAATAGAAAGCAAAGAACTGGAGAAGATCACAAAGTATTAAGATCTAAAAATCAACATTGAAAGATTATGGCACAGGCAGTGGTGCAGGAACGTGCAGTCAGAGGAGGCAGGGGAGGCAGAGCCTCACCACTGTCATCATGAAAAGAAAAAAAATGTAAAAGGAAAAA